TTTTGACAGAGAGAGACAGAGCATGAGCGGGGGTGGGGCAGAGAGAGAGGGAGGCACAGAATCCAGAGCAGGCTCCAGGCTCCGAGCTGTCAGCCCAGAGCCCGACGCGGGGCTCGAACTCACGGACTGCGGATCGTGACCTGAGCCGAAGTCGGACGCTCAACCGACTGAGCCACCCAGGCGCCTCATAATCTGTCCTTTATTATTCATGATTGAAGCATACCCATCCTGTGGAGGATCCAGTCTCCCTGCTGTATCCACAGTAATTCAAAGGGCGCCCGGCACTCGGTAGGTGTTTATTTAGTGCATAAAGACTTGGTGAAAACACAAACTTCGCTTCATGTACTTTTCACTTAGATCTTTCACAGAGGACTTGTTTTTATTTCTTTTTTTGGCAGTATCTGAGCCTAGCGGCTATGCTAGAGTTAGAGTAAAAACAAGTGGTAGAATTTTTTTTTTAAGACTAAGTTTTAGTACCCTGACGGGTAAATCAGCAAAAGGCTGACGGAATTAGTACCGAGATCCGTGATGTTTCAACTGCAGAGGTAGTGTCTCAAGTCTAAATCTTGGCAACAAGCGTCAAGTAATAGAAAAGTCCTATTGACAAAACACTTAAGGGCTACAACAAACATGATCAAATAACTTAAATATGTAATAACTAGTAATTCCAGAACTATGATGTTTAAAGTCGTTGACGAGGGCGCCTGGCTGACTCAGTCAGAAGAGCATGTGACTCTCTATCTCAGGATCATGAGTTCAGGCCCCACATTAGGTGTGGAGATTAGTTAAATAAATAAACCTTAAGGGGCAGTCAGCTGAGTGTCCGATTCTTATTCTTAATTTTGGCTGAGGTCGTGATCTCACAGTTTGTAGGTTTGAGCCCCGCGTCAGGCTCTAAGCTGATAGCACGGAGCCTGCTTGAGATTCTCCCTCTCTCTCTGCCCCTCCCTTGTACACTCTCTCTGTCTCGCTCAAAATAAATAAATCAGCTTATAAATAAATAAGGAAACTAAAAAAAATAAAGTAGTTGGAGAATGTTAATTTATTGCACACATACTTAAAGAGTGAAAATAACCAGATGATACATGAAATCACACTTGGGGAAAAAATATTCCTTGTTTCTTTTTTTTTTTTTTTTTTTTTTTTATTTTAAAAATATTTTTTAATGTTTATTTATTTATTTTTGAGACAGAGAGAGACACAGCATGAACGGGGGAGGGGCAGAGAGAGAGGGAAACACAGAATCGGAAGCAGGCTCCAGGCTCTGAGCCATCAGCCCAGAGCCCGACGCGAGGCTCGAACTCGTGGACCGCGAGATCGTGACCTGAGCCGAACTCGGACGCTTAACCGACTGAGCCACCCAGGCGCCCCAATATTCCTTGTTTCAAGAAACACTGGATACCTGCTATGCGCCAGGTTAAATCCTAACTACAGATTACAAACTACTAACAAACTGTTATTGAGCCATACATATGCCTCACTGCAACTTTAACAACCATTAGCATCTATCCTATCCACTGTGCTAAGCGCTGGGGATATTTATATAAACAAGACAAACGCTATCTGTCCTGGATTCTCAGAGAGGAAAGAAGAAAAACCAAATAGTCAGAAATTACAAAAAAGAAATAAACCAAGGACCAGGAAATGATAACAGAGAACTCCCCTGGACAGGGTGGTCAGGTGGATAGGGTGCCCCTGAAAAAGTGACATGTATGCCCTCACTGATGAAAAGGAGACCGCTCTGGGCGGTCCTGGGGAAACGGTATGCCAGGGAGCCAGAACAGCAAATGCACAGGACCTGAGAGGGGGATGAGTGTCAAAGAGAACAAGATGGCAGTGTGGCTTGAATAGAGCGAGCAAGGGAGTGAGTGACACAAGCTGAAGTCAGAGAGGCAGTAACCAGATCTCACACAAAGCACCGCAGGCCATGGGGAGAAGCTGGTGAGTCACTGAGAATGTCAGGGGAAGCCATTAAGGACTGTAAGCAAGAAAGTAAGACGATCTGATTACATTTTTCTAGAAATCATTCCTGCAGTTGGGCGAAGAATGGATTAAAAAGAGGCAAGATGGGGAAATGGGGGAGACCAGCTGGGTGACTCTGCCTAAAATGCTAAAAGCGGACTGTTCGCTGACAAGAAAAAAAAGGGGGTGAATTCCGAACGCATTTGGGCGATGGCAGAACCGGATGTGGGGCTTGATGAGGGGCAGGGCGGAATCGAGGGTGGGTCCCAGCCTTCTGGGTGGGGCAATTAGATGAAAGCCATTTACTGACATGGGTGGTGCCAATCACGGAGCTTCCTTCTTCAGACCCTGTGTGTGTCCTTCCTATGTAAAGGTGATCAGAGACACGACAGTTGCCAAGTGCACTCAATCCTCATCTGACACTGTTAACCACTATCTGTTCCTTCGACCTTCATTCGGTCTTGGTTTCCAAGACACCACATTCTCCCCGTTCTTCATTTCCTCATCAGACCCCCCTCCCAGGTTCCCTATAGCCCAGGGCTCCGTCCTCGGCCCCCTGCTATTTCCTTCAACACACTCTTCCACGGTGACCTCATCCAAACCATGCAAGCTTTTACTCTCTTCTGTGATGCCTCCCAAATCTGTGCTTCCGACCAGAGCTTTCTCCTCGTCTCTCCAGCACCACCTATCCCAACTGTCTTCTGCCCACTTCTATTAGGATGCCTCAGCAGCGTGTAAAGCTCAACATACCCCAAAGTAACTTCATCACCATCTTCCTCCTACGCTATTCCCTCATCCACATTCTTGACCTGTGAGAAGCCCCACCTGCCAAAAATAGGCTCAGCCTCCCAAGCCCCAAACCTTAGGATCACCTTACCCTCCTCTTTCAAGCCGACAGCACATCAATTTGCAAGCCCTATCAAATTTACTCTCTAGCTAGCGCTCAAGAGTGTGTCCTCTCTTCATATCCCACTGCTTTCATTCACGCCCCCCTCTCTGGATTATTAGAATAGCCCTCTGATCTCCTCAGTCTCAGACCACTCCGACCCATCCTTCACGTCTCCACAGAGAAAGAAAGGCTTCACCAGCCTCCACAGTCCTCAGGATAAAGATCCAGCCTTACAAATGGCAAACAAGGTCCTCTGTGAGTTAATGCCTCTGGCTGGCTCTCCTGCCTTGACTGCCCCCATCTCCTTCCCAGCCACACTCCTACCTCCCACCACACGGACCGACCAACAGGTCCATTCAGGACTCTGTATATGCGGTTTCCTCGCCCAGTGCCTACTCAGCTTAAGCACCCCTTCCTCTGGTGGCCTGCCCTCCAGTCTGAGATGATGGCTCTACCTAGGGCTCTCACAGCACACCGTTATCCAAGGACTTCTTGTATTAACTATCACACTCTGTTTCTCCCACTGAACTGGAAATGATGTGAAGTCAGGGACCGTCCTTCTAGCATACTTTTGGTGCTTGGTACTTAAAAGGTTTGCTGAGTAACTATGTATCTGCATCAAATTCAGGAAGGTTTTCTATAAAAACGAACTGTTACGTACACCGTCCATGACCAGAAAAAGACGATTTGGCAAGAAGCAGCATTCAATCGTTTTCTAAAATTAAGCTAACCTTAGCTGCTGACACTCATACATCAGTATGCACCTTTCATTACTGAAGAGCTGGGTACATCCGAGATAAATGTAGCTCTCATTCTGATGATCTGTTCATATTAATATCCATGAATACTCAGGTTTTCAGTTCTGCTTCTTTTAGTATCTTCAGTCTAATTAAGATCATCCTGACGTCCTCAGTACAATGTCTGACCTCTCGTGCCTAATTATTCTGTCTGAAGCACCCGAGCTTTCTGACAAACCTTAGTTTTAGGCTATTTCCTGCCTTTACTTAAAAGACAAACATTGT